AGCTGTGCGCTCTCAACAGCATCTATCTCCTTTAACTTCTTCCAGAGGTCATCTGGAGAAGGGAGCATCTCCGTTTCACTGCCTGTAGCATGAGACACCATGGTGGCCAGGTCAGCCACCACCATAGTGCTGCGGTCGTCGGATAACGACGCCCCGGGGCCCGCCTGCTCAGCCCTGAGCGCTGGTACTGGGGTATCCCTCCCCTGCACCGTAAACGACGTATTATTACTGGACTCCTCCATATTTGGTTTATTGATTCGGGGTTCCTTCCCCCAGTCCATTTGGTCCGCGACTGCTTATTCGTGGTCTCAACGTGAGGCCCTTATTTCGCAGCTAACCAGCATATCTGCTGGCCGTTCCGCTATCCGCCACCTGGAGACACGCCGGGTTGCGGTGGACGACCGCCCCCGGGGGCGAAGCCCCCGGCCCGGTTTGTTGTTGTCGTTGACGTTGACGTTGTCGTTGTCGTTGTCGTTGTCGTTGTCGTTGTCGTTGTCGTTGTCGTTGTCGTTGTCGTTGTCGTTGTCGTTGTCGTTGTCGTTGTCGTTGTCGTTGTCGTTGTCGTTGTCGTTGTCGTTGTCGTTGTCGTTGTCGTTGTCGTTGTCGTTGTCGTTGTCGTTGTCGTTGTCGTTGTCGTTGTCGTTGTCGTTGTCGTTGTCGTTGTCGTTGTCGTTGTCGTTGTCGTTGTCGTTGTCGTTGTCGTTGTCGTTGTCGTTGTCGTTGTCGTTGTCGTTGTCGTTGTCGTTGTCGTTGTCGTTGTCGTTGTCGTTGTCGTTGTCGTTGTCGTTGTCGTTGTCGTTGTCGTTGTCGTTGTCGTTGTCGTTGTCGTTGTCGTTGTCGTTGTCGTTGTCGTTGTCGTTGTCGTTGTCGTTGTCGTTGTCGTTGTCGTTGTCGTTGTCGTTGTCGTTGTCGTTGTCGTTGTCGTTGTCGTTGTCGTTGTCGTTGTCGTTGTCGTTGTCGTTGTCGTTGTCGTTGTCGTTGTCGTTGTCGTTGTCGTTGTCGTTGTCGTTGTCGTTGTCGTTGTCGTTGTCGTTGTCGTTGTCGTTGTCGTTGTCGTTGTCGTTGTCGTTGTCGTTGTCGTTGTCGTTGTCGTTGTCGTTGTCGTTGTCGTTGTCGTTGTCGTTGTCGTTGTCGTTGTCGTTGTCGTTGTCGTTGTCGTTGTCGTTGTCGTTGTCGTTGTCGTTGTCGTTGTCGTTGTCGTTGTCGTTGTCGTTGTCGTTGTCGTTGTCGTTGTCGTTGTCGTTGTCGTTGTCGTTGTCGTTGTCGTTGTCGTTGTCGTTGTCGTTGTCGTTGTCGTTGTCGTTGTCGTTGTCGTTGTCGTTGTCGTTGTCGTTGTCGTTGTCGTTGTCGTTGTCGTTGTCGTTGTCGTTGTCGTTGTCGTTGTCGTTGTCGTTGTCGTTGTCGTTGTCGTTGTCGTTGTCGTTGTCGTTGTTGTTGTTGGAACCATACATGGATGTGATAGGTTAGGATGGGCCACACACTTAAATCCGGCCGCCGTGAAGCGGCCGGCATCGTTTTTGTTATTATCAGAACAACACTATTGTCTTAGGAAAGTGTTGCCGGTCGCCTTATGGCACACCGCGGCTGCGGCGGCCGGATTTATATATGTAGCGTAATCTAACCTATCACATCTATGTGACAAGAGCGTTTCGATACATTTACCACCACCCTCTAGGTATTCTGTATAATGATCGGACATTTTGCACAATGTCTTTCCGAACGGGCGTTCTACACAATGTCCGGTCATTTTACAAAATGCCCACGTTAAACACATTACCCGTTACAAACGGTTTCATCGCGATTACTTCATTCCTTGCAGAGTAACACCAAGAAATAAGCTTTTAGCTATAACAATAGTTATTAACAATAATAAATTCCATACATTTTTGGAAGCGAGCATTTTTGGATCGCGGAAATATCTCCCATTAGATTGGAAGGCTTTCATCGCGACCGGTACATTCCTTGCAGAGTAGCGCTAAAGAATAGGAGTTTGCAATAACAATAGTTATTATATATGTACAGGTAGGTCTCGATTAGTGCGAGTAATAAATCCCAGAAATTGTTCGCATTATTTGAATTCGTGCTATTCGAATATTTGAAATATAGGAATTGGTTCTTACAAGGAGATGCTACGAGGTGCTAACTCGACTTTCGAATGAGCTCTAGTGCCTTCGAAAGGGGAGGTCAATAGTACAAATCGTGTTAAGGGTTTTGGGGGTATGGGCCTTACTTTTTGAGAAAATTGCATAAATATTTATGCATTTTTTCACCTGTACTATAAATACAATGAATAGTTCAATGTCAGTATGAAGCAAATTAGCCGAGCAGGTTAAGTGCCCGTGCAACTATTATTTTGTAATCCATGCAAGCTCGGTTCAAGACAGCATTCTGATAATTTTTTTTTTTTCTTTTAAGATTATTCTATTTATGAATTGATCTTTTTCATTCTTTGCAGCAATAAAAAACGATTTATTACTTGGTATTATATCTGTATGTAGTTATTATGTTATGTGTTATATAATTCTGTCATAAAACTACATGCAGATATAATACCAAGTAATAAATCGTTTTTTATTGCTGCAAAGAATGAAAAAAATCAATTCATAAATAGAATAATCTTAAAAGAAAAAAAAAAAATTATCAGAATGCTGTCTTGAACCGAGCTTGCATGGATTACAAAATAATAGCTGCACGGGCACTTAACCTGCTCGGCTAATTTGCTTCATACTGATATTCAACTATTCATTGTATTTATAGTACAGCTGAAAAAATGCATAAATATTTATACAATTTTCTCAAAAAGTAAGGCCCATACACCCAAAACCCTTAACACGATTTGTACTATTGACCTCCCCTTTCGAAGGCACTAGAGCTCATTCGAAAGTCGAGTTAGCACTTCGTAGCATCTCCTTGTTAGTTAAAGAATATATACGATTCAAATTTTGAAATATACCTTTCATACGTATATTATTAAATTATAATAGCATAAACATGTTTATTATTTTTTAAAGTATTTTTACAGTGTTGATTGCACTTTCTTCTACTTTTTCATATCTCCGTATATGTGATGATAAACCCGCAGTATTTTATCCAAGTCTCTGTTAACTTTCATGCTTCGATCCATGTCTGATCGTAAAAAGCCTCGCAAACCTCGCATTAAATGAATTTTTGTTTGCATTAAATGCGACCTGGTATCATTTTAAAATTCGCACTAAACCGAATATCGCACTATGTGAACTAGCATCAATCGAGACTTACCTGTATACTAGTGTTTGGTCGACGCGATATGTGTATAGAAACAGTAGAGACAGGCGACTGCATTCTGACCCATACACCGCAAGAGTAGCCGGTAGAATACACGTAGGCATACGTAGAATTCAATGTAGTAGTAACAATAGTTTTTCACGAATATCTCGGAAACTAAAGCTTTCAGTTGATTATACATAATAAAAAACTTCTTCAGCATCATGCCTCCGACAACATATTAAAGGGTCCTTGAAATCAACCTATGTTGAGATTAGAAACTTTCTGTTTTTTGCAATAATAATCCTTGGCAATGAAAAAATGCAAAATGTTTTCTTAACGGGACCAATCGGAAGACATACTCTACAAGATGCAAAAGGTTTCGTTCCGATTGGTCCATCCATCTCAGAGTAATCGGCGAACAAAGCCAGGGAAAAAAAATATATACTGATCGAAGTGAGTATCCCCCTCGTTTTCGAAGTGTTACGTCCGGGTTATTTTCAATAATCCGACTGTGGCTAAGATCTATTTCTATTTTCTTGCAAATAGTTTTAAATAATTTAATCGCTAATGTACAGGGTGTAAAAAAATTTAATGTCACGAACCATGTGGGATGATTCTACACCTCGGGATCGGTGGAGATCTGTCAAAGAAAGCGACCGCAAAATTGAACTTGACCCCTAATTTCAAGGTCAAATCTTTTTATTGGCTTATCGTATAGTGCTCATCGAGGGGATAAAACGTCTGAAAGGAACCATGTGCCGGAAATCAACCCGTCTCATAGAAAAAAGCCGTCAAAGTTTCCCTATACGTTGATGCATTAAACGCTGAGTCGCGCGGTGCCCGTTTCCAGTAACCTCGGCGCGTCAGTCTCGCGTATCGCTCGAATTTCATGTTATAAGACAATTTTTGAATTTCAATCACAATGCCAGCATATAGGATGGGTAAATTCTAAGAGAGCATATTTAAAAAGACAAAATAACTACTGCGTTTAAATGAAAATAAAAATGAATTTAATCGAAACATTCGTAATATAATATATAAATAACAATAATAAAAGTAATACAATAATAATAAAAATATAATAGAAAAGAATTATATAAAATAATAATATGAAAAATAATAATATATGATATAAAATAATAGTATAAAAAATAATAATATATGATATAAGATAATATAAAAAATAATAGTATGTGATACAAGATAATAAAATAAAAAATAATATGTAACATAATAATAAATATAATAAGGTAATAAGAGTTCCGTTGTGGTAATGGTCGAGAGCGAACGTGGGCCTTGCTAAGCGGAGTGATCAAAGAGCGAGAAAGTTATAAAAGTGGAGATACAAAGTGCAAAGACAGCAGGAGGTGTGGGCGGATAGGGGAAGGATAGAGCAGGGGTGTAGTGAGAAAACAAATTTGTAAGAACGGGAAGAAAAGTCGTCGATAGGTGAGTGCAGAATTTGTGAGGTTAGAATCTAGAAGGGATAGAAAAGAGCGGCAAACAGGAAGAGGAAGTTGAAAGAGCGACACCTTGGGAGAGAGAGAAGTGGCCACAGGAGCAAAGGGATGGCCGGTAAAGAAGAAGAAGGAGCGGAGAAGAGAACCGGAACACAAAGAATGGAAGACGAGTCGAAGGAAAAGAAAGACGTGGAGGCGAGGTAGGAACCTGGGAAACCGGAGAAAGGGGGAAAAAGAGGTAGGCCCTCGAATATAGAGGTCTTGAGAAGAGAAAGAACACAGAGTTTGGGAAGTATGCCAAACCTGGAGGAAATATGGAAAAGAAAAAGGGAGGAAGGAAATGAAGAGGGAGCCACAAAAGAGAAAGAGGAGGAGGGGAAGAGGAGAACAAGCGGATGGATGTTTAGAGAAAGCAGCTGGACGGAGAGGTCACCCGAGAAGAAAAAAGAAAGAAGAGAAGGCGAAGGAGGAGTGGGTGAAATAAAAGAGTTAATAAAAGATCTAGGAAAATATCTGGGAGAGAGGTTGGGAAGGGTGGAGGAGAATATGAAAGCATTAGGAAATGAAGTAAGAGGAGAAATGGAGAAGCTAAAAGAAGATACGAAGAGAAGAGAGGCCATGTGGGCGGAACAAAGGAGAGAAATGGAAGGGAAGATAGAAATGCTGATAAAGAAGATTGAAGAACTAGAGAAGAAAGGAGAAGAGGGGGCAAGATGGATAGAAATAGAAAGGAAAGTGAACAAAACCGTGCAAGAATCTATAGAAAAAAGAAAAGGGGAGTTAGGAGGCTAGAAAGTTAGTGAGAAGCTCAGCGAGCTGGAAAAGAAATGGGAGAGGAAAGAGAGAGAGGAGAGTATTAGAGGAGAGCTGGACAGTACTCCAGGGTATGTTGCGCGGTGTCCCGCCCCGCAGTGATGGCACGCTGCCGTTTCCCCCGCCCCGATCCGGTGCAGGTACTCACCGAAACAACCATGTCCGGTGAGTACCTGGGTGATCCGGAATGTTATCATCCCGTAGCCGCGGTCCCGCCATTTCTTTAGGACTGGCAGGACCGCCCCGACTGCTCGCTGGGCAGTGGCGCCGCTCTCCACTAACTCGCGACGCCACCGACCCAGGGCTATTTGCCGCGACCGGCGCTTCACTCTCGCGATTATTTCGGCCGTCTCTTCTGGCGGGGTCCCGTCCAGACGAAGGGCACGCAGACGCCAAAAGACTTTGGCGTCACCCTCCGCCTGGAACTTGAAAGGGACTACCCCGGCTAGCGTCATCGCCGCCTCACAGGAGACCGTGCGGTACCCCCTTATGGCCCTGATGGCTATTCGCCTCTCTACACGGCGCAGGGTTTGCTGGCTGCGCCGGGATGCCATCAGGGCGTCGGCCCAAATGGGCGAGCTGTATAAGGCCATACTCCGCACGATCCCCACGTATAAGCGGCGAACCTTCTCGTTGGGCCCCCCGATGTTGGACAGTAAACGGCACAGGGCATTACTTGCCCTGTCCAACCGGGGGGCCAGACGGCCGAAGTGCTCCTTGAAGCGCCAGTGGCTGTCCAGGTGGAGGCCCAAATATTTGTGGCCTTTGCCCACCATCTCGGACGTCGACATCTCCTACCCGGATCACTGACTGGGGCGGTGGCGCATCCCCACGCCGAGGCGAGTAAAACCACATCGCCTCGGTTTTGTGGGGTGCTATCTGAAGCCCCAGTCGCCGGAGCGCTGCGGCGACGGCAGCTACTTCAATCTCAGCTAAGCGGGTGGTCCTATCCCACTTCCGACCGATGGCGAGCAGGTACGTATCGTCAGTAAAGCACCTGACGCTCACCCCGGTCAGGAGTGTAACCCGCAGAGCCGGGTCGTACCCCAAGATCCAAAGGTCGGGACCCGAAGCCGAACCCTGGGGTACGCCGCGGTCAACGTCCCTCTCATACTCTGTGCCATCCCGGCCCGTGTATACTATTTTTCTGTCCCGGAGGAAATCCCCGAATATCCGTCTCAAGTAGGGGGGCACGTTGTTCTATCAGTGCCCCCCTTATCGTCCCGTGGGGCAGGGTGTTGAAAGCGTTGACGATGTCAATTGACACGCCCAACGCCACCCCGCCCCGGGACGTGGCCGAGTCGCAGCGGGAGCGCATCAACTGTATCGCGTCGATAGTGCTGCGCCCCCGCCTAAAGCCGTATTGCGATTCGGCCAAGTCGGGACCCTCCCGGGACAGATGCTGAACGAGGCGGGAAGACAAAATCCTCTCAAACAGCTTCCCCACCTCGTCCAGCAGCACAATGGGCCGGTAGGCAGAGGGACTCTCTGCGGGCCGTCCGTCTTTCTTTATAAGGACCAGCCGCCCCGTCTTCCACTACGTTGGAAAGACTCCTTCCCTTAGACAGGCACTGAAGAGGCGTCTCAGTCTCGGACCGGGGACGCGCAAGGCCTTTACCCAGACACGGCCGGGGATGCCATCCGGGCCCGGAGCGGTATTCCGGGCCGACAGGCGTTTTATCGCCCCGACCAGCTCCTCCTCCGTGACCCCCATATCGTCGGACCACTCTATCTGTTCGCGGTCCGGCGGGGGGCTGGTGTGATCGTCCTCGTCATGAGGAAATAGCGTGTCCACTACCCCCCCCCCCCCCCCAAAAGCTGGGGGTCGTGGCTCTCCGTCACGGGAGGCGCCCAGGGCCTTAGCTTGCCCATAACAATCCTGTAGGGGCGCCCCCACGGATCCTTCTGCAGAGAGTTGAGGAGCTCATTCCATGCCTGGGATTTGGCCTCCCAGATGCGGTATTGCCCGTACAGATCATCCTCCCTCGCTGGGTCACGGTTCGTCCTTCTTCTGCGAGCCCTTTGCCACTGGCGACGGGCGGTCTGACAGTTTCGCCATAAATCGGCGATTTCGCCCGTCAACCAGGTAGGCGGCCCGCTTGGGGAGGCTCTTGGCCCGGGGCATGGCGGTGTCGCACACCGCCTTCATGGCTCCCTGGAACCACTCTACCTCCTCCCCTATGTCCGCGACCGGTCCGGCTGGTGTTGGAACCCAGACCAAAGCGAGGGCTGCAGTCATCAGCGCGTCCTCGTCCATCCTCTTCAGCGCCCATCTTAGCGGTGGTGGTGGAGATGTCGAGGCGGAAGTAAAGGTGATCGCTCACCGTCTCCGCCTCCTCCACCACCCTCCATCTCCGCACCATGCGTGCGGCCGGGGGAGTCGCGAATGACAGATCGACTATTGACTCCCCCTGAGCACGCCCGCAGGTGCTGACGGACCCCTCATTCAGCAAGAGGAGCCCTTATCCCGCCGCCCAATCCTGGACCGCCCGACCTCTCGCGTCTGTCCTCGGGGAGCCCAAAAGTGACGAGTGGGCGTAAAGTCCCCGAGGACGAGTACTGGCCGCGGGGAACAACGGGAGACGATGTCTCCCACCCGGTCCAAGCACTCTTCGTATTCCGCGAGAGGCCATCTGGGCGGGGCATATATCCCCACCACCGCTAATCTACCCCACTTCACCGCAACAAATCCCCTCCCCCGCCCCAGTGGGACGGGGAGTGGGGGTGTTGCGGTGCCGATAATCGCCACGGAGCCGTCCTCGTCCCCGAACCAATCTGCTCTGCCGGGGACTCTGTACGGCTCCGCGGCCACCGCCAATCCGACTTTCCACTCGGCCAGGACATGTAGAAATAAGTCTTGGGCCCTGGCCGAGTGGTTTAAGTTGACCTGCAGTATAAGGCCCTTGAGCCCCATACTCAGGCCTCAGTAGCCGCCTCCGCGGCATTACTACTCCCTGCTTTGGCGGGGGTGGCGGCGTTTCTCTTCTTGCCCCCTTCTTCCCTGCAGGTTCCACCTGTGGTGTCTGAGTGGGGGTTGTTCCTACCCCTTCGACGGCACTCGCCTTCTTTCTCCTAGTGGAGGCTGGGGCACACCCGCTTAGCCCCCAGTCTGTGCCCCGCGGATCGCCCCAGGTCGAATAGAGGACGACCTAACGTAGGCGGAGAGGGAGACACAGTGGACGCTAAGAAAAATCGGAAGAGAAGAAAGAGAGAAAGGAAAATACGTATAGGTAGACCACGGGAAAATACGAATAGAGGGGAAATGGTGGAGATGGGATGAAGAAAAGGGAGCGCTGGTAGACTGGGAGGGGAAGGCCCACCAAGGAGGAGGACAAAGGAAGGGGGAAGAGGAGCAAGGGATATAGGGGCTGAAGAAACTCCGGAAAGAACATGCAAGCAAAACAAAAGAGGAAGGAAAGAAAAAGCGGAAGGGGGAGGGCAAGAAGAGAGAGGAAGGAAGGGAGAGAAGAAGGGAGCAGCAGACGGAAAAGTAAGCAGAAGGACGGAAGAAAACAGAAACGAAGAAGAGGAGGAAGGGGGAGTATGGACAGTAGGATTCTGGAATTGTGCTGGAGTAAGAAACAAAGACGAAGATTTTTGGAAAACAAAAATGAAATGGGAGGCGGTGGTCCTGATAGAGACGTGGTTGGAAGAAAGGGGGTGGAAAAATATGAGAGACAGGCTACCAAAAGGATACAGATGGGAGGTACAACTAGCGAGGAGAAGGAACAAAAAAGGGAGAGCAATGGGAGGGATGCTTATGGGAATAAAAGAAGAGATGTTAGGGAAGGAAGGAGGGTTCAAAAAAGAGGCAGAAAGAGAGGGCATATTGGTGGCAGAATGTAAGGGGGGGAAAGAGAAATGGAGGGTGGTGGGGGTGAATGTAAACGGAGACACCGAAGCAAAGATAGAAGAACTGAATCCATGGCTCGAGGAAGTTGAGCGAGAAGGAAGGACGATAATTGGTGGTGACTTCAATGCGAGAACAGGAGAGGAAGGAGGAGCGCAAGAAAAAGAGGAGGAGGATGAGGGCGAAGAGAGAAGAAGATCCAAGGACAAGAAGATAAATGGCGAAGGAAAAAGATTGCTGGAAGTGCTAAGGGAGACGGGCTGGTCGATTGTGAATGGGAGCATAGAAGGGAACGAAGAGGGGGAATTCACTTCTACAGGGGCCAGAGGAGACACGGTGATTGATTATGTGATAGCGGAAGCAGAGGGGAGGGAAAGAATTGTAAGCATGAAAGTAGGGGATAGTGTGGACTCAGACCACCATCCTGTGATAATGAAGCTGAGAGCGGGAGGTAAGCAGATGACGAAAGTAGAAAAGGAAAAGAGAGCAACAGCGAGAGGAAATTGGACGGAGCAGGGGAGGAAAAAGTTCAGGGAAGAATTAAAATGGAGGAGAAGCAGGGATGGCAAAGTTGACGAGGACATGGAAATAATGATAGAGGAATTTAAACGAGGGCTAGAAAAAAGCAGAGAGAAGGGGCAGATAAACAGGAAAAAAGGTTGGTGGGACGAGGAGTGCGAAGAGAGGATAGAGGGACTCAAGGGAGTCCTAAGGGAGTGGAGGAAAGGGCGCGAGGAGGGAGAAAGCTACAGGAAGGCAAAGAGGGAGTACAATAGTCTTTGCAAAGATAAAAAGAGAGAGGAAAACGAGAGGTTCATAAAAGAGGTGGAGGGAGCTAAAACTGACAAGGGGGTATAGAGAATAGTGAACAGAGAAAGGAAGAAAAGAGGACAAGTTCACTCAAATATAAAGGAAGAAGAGTGGAAAACCCACTTTATGAACCTGTTAGGTGGAACGGAAGAAAAGGTGGTGATGGGAGGCGAGAGGAAACCGGAGGAGGAAGAGGAAGAGAGGAGGGAGTGCAAGAAGAAGAAATAAGCAGGGAGGAAATTAGAAGAGCGGTAGCAAAGATGAAGGATGGGAAAGCAGTAGGCGGAGATGGAATACCGAATGAGGTAGGGAAGTACGGAGGGGAGGAAGTGTCGAAATGGATTTGGGAAACCTGCAACAGAGTATGGCAGGGCCAGTCATTGGGATGTAAATAAAGCTAAAGGCGAAATGAAAGTGAATGTCGTCCTCTGCGTCGAACGAGGGAGGATGGGCCTCGTTACGATTAGGCCTCGCACTCCCGAGGCGTCCCGTTCTCATTGCGAGAAGAGGCGCACCTAGAGCGTACACGTCGGGACCCGAAAGATGGTGAACTATGCCTGGTCAGGACGAAGTCAGGAAGGAGGTCCGTAGCGATTCTGACGTGCAAATCGATCGTCGGAACTGGGTACAGGGGCGAAAGACTAATCGAACCACCTAGTAGCTGGTGTCCTCTGAAGTTTCCATCAGGATAGCTGGCACTCGCTCGAACGTTATTGCGAGTCTCATCTGGTAAAGCGAATGATTAGAGGCCCTGGGGCCGAAACGACCTCAACCTATTCTCAACCTTTAAATGGGTGAGATCTCTGGCTTGCTTGCATCAAATGAAGCCATGAGATTTTATTATTGGATCAGAGTGTCAAGCGGGCCAATTTTGGTAAGCAGAACTGGCGCTGTGGGATGAACCAAACGCAGAGTTAAGGCACCTAAGTCGACGCTTATGGGATACCATGAAAGGCGTTGGTTGCTTAAGACAGCAGGACGGTGGCCATGGAAGTCGGAATCCGCTATGGAGTGTGTAACAACTCACCTGCCAAAGCAACTAGCCCTGAAAATGGATGGTGCTGAAGCGTCGCGCCTATACTCCGCCGTCAGTGGCAAGTGGGGCTGGACAAAATTTGGTCCTCCATGAAGCCCTGACAAGTAGGAGGGTCGCGACGGTGTGCGCAGAAGAGTCTGGGCGTGAGCCTGCCTAGAGCCGCCGTCGGTGCAGATCTTGGTGGTAGTAGCAAATACTCCAGCGAGGCCCTAGAGGACTAACGTGGAGAAGAGTTTCGTGTGAACAGCCGTTGCACACGAGTCAGTCGATCCTACGCCCTAAGAGAAATCCTATATAAATGAGGTGTCCTAAAGTTGTCAGTTAAAAAGCAACAACAAAACTGTCAGATATTGTTAAATCGAATTATAAGAAGTAGTTGCAGAGATGCACACCCATTGGGCGAAAGGGAATCCGGTTCCCATTCCGGAACCCGGCAGCGGAACCGCATACCATTCGGGCCCTCGTAAGAGTGTTCGTCGGGGTAACCCAAAATGACCTGGAGACGCCGTCGGGAGATCTGGGAAGAGTTTTCTTTTCTGTATAAGCGTTCGAGTTCCTTGGAAACCTCTAGCAGGGAGATAGAGTTTGGAACGCGAAGAGCACCGCAGTTGCGGCGGTGTCTGGATCTTCCCCTCGGACCTTGAAAATCCAGGAGAGGGCCACGTGGAGGTGTCGCGCCGGTTCGTACCAATATTCGCAGCAGGTCTTCAAGGTGAAGAGCCTCTAGTCGATAGATTAATGTAGGTAAGGGAAGTAGGCAAATTGGATCCGTAACTTCGGAATAAGGGTTGGCTCTGAGGAGCGGGGCGTGTCGGACTTGGTCGGAAAGCAGATCTGGCTGACGTGCCGGGCCTGGGCGAGGTGAACAGTTGGCGACTTCGGTCGCGTCCCGGGATCCGAGCTCGGTCCCGTGCCTTGGCCTCCCGCGGATCTTCCTTGCTGCGAGGCTTCCGTGGCGGTTACGCCGTCGTGGTCGCTTCTTCGGCCGCCATTCAACGCTTAGCTCAGAATTGGCACGGACTAGGGGAATCCGACTGTCTAATTAAAACAAAGCATTGCGATGGCCCTCACGGGTGATGTCGCAATGTGATTTCTGCCCAGTGCTCTGAATGTCAACGTGAAGAAATTCAAAAAAGCGCGGGTAAACGGCGGGAGTAACTATGACTCTCTTAACACAGCATTACCACGGGTCGGTGTCTAAGACCGAATGGCCCATATGTGGTGAGTCTTGTAATATAAGGTTGATAAAGTGTATGCACTTATAAGTGTGTATGCTTATAAGGCAGGGGCGGTGGAGTGCACACCGTTTGGGTAGCGGCGACCCCACCTACCTGAGCTAGGCGTAGGGATGGTTTAACAGTCGTCCTGACATGAATTCGAAATGACAGGAGAAGAGAGGTGAAAAATTTGAATAAGGTACTTGGTGCCTAAACGCGGACTTTGTCCACCAAGGTCGGGACGGCTGAAGGGTCATCTAAACGTCTTGGCTACCTTGCACATACGACCCGGCGTTCTTCTGGCTATGATAGGTTTATGTATGGATAAGATGAATCGGCAATTGAAAATATTGTTTACGAAAATGGATGAAGATGAAGGAGCGTCGGACACGGGAACCCCCGGCCCTGGGATTCCCGTGGCGAACTTGTCCGCTATGGATCGGAGGGCCACTGTTGACGACCAAGGCATGAATATGGAAGATGAGTTGGAATTTATTGTTGATCTTCCGTTGAGCGGAGAAATAAAATGTAGCGCATGTGAAAGAGAAGGCCGAAATAGAATGTTTCTACAGGAGGGTAAACTCAATGAGCACATAGAACAACAGCATCCGCAAATGAATATGAAATGGAGGTGTGCTAGATGCGGTAAAAGCTTCCAAAAACTACATGGATGCAGATGCCACCTCCCAAAATGCAAGGGTGAAGCAGAGCCCAGAGCGGCTGCAACCTTGATGTGTACATCCTGTGGAAGATCTTTCGGTACGAAAAGGGGATTGTCTACTCACGAGAGACATAGACACCCCGAAACGCGCAATGAAAAACGGAAAAAACCAGAACCTCGTCCAGGTAGAAGCCGACCAGGCAACAGAGCCTCGGCCTGGTCCAAAGAGGAGGAGAGACTCCTCATAGAGTTGAACGAAAGGTTCAAACATGAAAGGTTTATAAATGTTGCAATAAGCAGATTCCTACCTGGAAAAACTTATAAACAAATAAACGATAAAAGGAGGCTCTTGAAAAGAAAAGAAAAGGAGGCGGGTGCTCAAGGGAGAAGGGAAAGGGAGGAGAAGCTAAACGATAGCAGCTCCAGTCCAAGCTCGCCTCAGTCCGCTGCAGAAGGGGAAATTGAAATAATATACGAAAGCAGCGGACCTAGTACTGCAGATAACACAATCGAGTGGAAAACGGTGCTAAAAGAACACATTCTGGCCCAATCGTTGGAAGAAAATAACGAAATGAGATATATAGAACAAAGGATACAGCATTGGGCCAGGGAAGAGCTTGGAGATCCCCATGATATCGAGAATTTAATTTGGGAATTGACAGAAAAGCTCAAAGAGGGCGTAGAGGATAATCCTCCTGGGGGAAGAGAAAGAAGGAATAATGGAAATCAAAATAGAACGAATAAAAAGAAAAATGATCACACCCGCAGGAAGGATTTCACTTATGCTCGATATCAGGAGTTATATAAAAAATGCCCTAAGAAGATAATAGACATGGCGGTCGCTGGGACGCAAGTTGAGGCAGGGGAAAGAATTGAACTTCCCGATAAAGGAAAAATCGAAAGCCTCTATGGAAACCTATGGGGTAGAGTGGTGTCTACCTCAGGTTTACCAAAATTCGGAGGACCGAGTGAAAGCGTCCCAATTAAAGAAATATTCGTGCCCATCACCAAAGGCGAACTAATAAACAAAGTTAAAAATCTAAAAACAGACAAAGCCGCAGGAGTCGACGGCATAAAGAAAATCCACCTTCGTAAAAAGGGAACATTACATCTGCTGTCCCTGCTCTTCAATCTAATAATGATGCGAGAGGTCTACCCAACAAATTGGAAGTTAAACAGAACCACGTTAATACCTAAACCAGGAAAGGATCAACGAGATCCTAAGAATTGGCGACCAATAATAATAGGGTCACTAATGGGCAGACTATATTCGTCAATGCTGGACAGCAGATTGCGGGATAAAATAAAGCAACACAAAAGACAAAAAGGGTTCACCCGCGAAGACGAGTGCAAACACAATATAACAATTTTAGAAGCTGCAATAAAAGAAATGAAAACGAAAGGAGGTGGAATTGTGACAGTCGTCGACATTTCAAAGGTTTTTGACACAGTCCCACACAGCGCCTTAGGCGAAGGGTTAAAATTAAAGGGTATCGCTCCAGCCATTGCAGAATACATAACGAAAATGTACGATGGCTGCAAAACAGAGCTAAAAACGGATAATAAGGGCGGAACCTTAAAAATTCACTTGAAGAGAGGAGTAAAACAAGGAGACCCACTGTTTCCTCTCCTCTTTAATCTAATATTAGACCCGTTAATCGGGAACATCGAACAGACGACGGAGGGCGTCAAAATAAATGGTGAAACTGTCTCTATTCTTGCGTTCGCAGACGATCTGGTGTTAATAGCTAAAAACAAAACTGAAGCAAAACGACAAATGAAAAAGCTGCTCAAATATTTATCTGAGCTTGGCATGAAAATCCAAGCAGAAAAATGTCCAACGTTCCAGATCGTTCATAAGAATAAAACTTGGTACTTACAAGACCCAGAAATAAAAATCGAAGAAACTCAAATCCCAGAAACCAAACCTGAGGATATGTTCAAGTATCTGGGAGTAACAATAAGCCCTTGGAGAGGGCTTGAGCGCATTGATGTCAGTAAAATCACCAAGGCAGCAACCAACATTATAAAAATGAAACTTAAACCGCACCAGAAAACGAACTTAATACGAACATATCTCCTGCCTAAATATATTCATAAACTGGTGGCAAATCCACCACCGTTGAATACTCTA